TTCTTCTAAGGATTTTGTAGCTTTAGCTCTTACATGTAGGTCTGTGGTTCGTTTTTACTTAATTTTTATATATGGTGTGAAATAAAGATCCAGCTTCATTTTTTGCATGTGAATATCTAGTTGTCCCAACACTGTTTGTTGAAATACTATTCTTTTCTCCACTGAGCTGTCTTAACACCCTTGTAAAAAATAAGTTGACCTCATGAAAAGGTTTTAAGCTGGGAAAAGATACGATCTGATTGATACTTTAAAAGGATCAGTCTCTCCAAGGATGGCTTTTAGAGAGGCAAAAGGGAAGTAGAGCTGGGAAGCTGTTATAATAATCCAAGTTAGTCAATAATGGCCAAGACTAGTGACAGCAAAGAAGATGGCAAGCTTTATAAAGATTGAAGATAGTTTGGAGAGAGGATTGCCTTGACTCTATGTTTTTGCCACTTTTTCACTTGTCTGTGTCACAGCTGTCTTTTCTACTTTTCCCCGTTATATTTTCTCTTAAATGGTCTTGAGAATTTTTTCTGTTATTTTTGGAAGTCTTTTTTTTTTTTTTTTTTTTACTTTACTGTTTTTTATTTCCTGTCTGTGATAAAACTCACAACTTATTTGTATCTACACTATTACTAAAACCACAGCTTATTTGTATCTACACCTATTGTTTCCTTCTTCACTCTTTCCTGGATTCTATCCCTCTTCACCTACTCAGTGATTTTCCTTTACCAGTTATATCCTGTGTCTTCAGTAGTTCTCTTTCTATAAGCCTTGTCCCATTAGATACACATTTTCTTAGGTGTATTCCATCTTTTTTTGAGTCTAGTTTTTAAAATGTAATTTATACATAGTAAAATTCACCCTTTTTAATGCACAGTTCAGTGAGTCCTAACAAATGTATATAGTTGTGAAACCATCACCACAGTCAAAAATAGAACATTTAATCACTCTCAAAAAGTTCCCTCCTGTACCTTTGCAGTCAGTCCCTACCCTTCTTCCCCAGCCCTAGCAACTGATTTGATTTCTGTTCCTATAGTTTTGCCTTTTCCAGAATGCAATATAAATGGAGACATAGAGCCTATGGCCTTTTTTCATTGGGTTTTTTCATTTAGTATAATGCTTTTGAGATTCATCCATATTATTATACATCCCAGTAGTTTGTTTTTTAAAATTGTGAGATGATATTCTATTATGTAGATTATTCATTTATCCCCCTGATGGATAGTTGGGTTCTTACATGTTTTGGCCATTGTGGATGATGCTGTTATAAATATTTATATATAGATCTTTGTGGATTTTTTTCATTTCTCCTGGGTAAACACATAGGAGGAGAATTACTGGGTCATTTAGTATGTGTATGTTTATAAGAAACTATCAAGCTGTTTTCCAAAGTGGATATACCATTTTGCATTCTTACCAACAGTTTATAAGAGGTTTAGTTCTAGTTGCTCGACATTCTTACCAACCTTTGGTATATTGATTCCCTTTTTTTTTTTTTTTTTTTTTTTGAGACAGAGTTTCTCTCTTGTTGCCCGTGCTAGAGTGCAATGGCATAATCTCGGCTCATTACAACCTCTGCCCCCTGGGTTCAAGCGATTCTTCTGCCTCAGCCTCC